GGGGGGGGGGTGCAAGACTGGCAGCTTAGTGATCCAGGATTTAGATGCTTCAGGCAAGATAGAGAGAGATGTAAAAGAGATTGGGGCTTTGTGTTACTGATAAGGGAGAACATCACAGCTGTACTGAGGGAAGACGCCTTGGGGAGCTCATCTCGCAAGGCCATACGGGTAGAGCTCAGGAAATAGCAAGGGTGCAATCACTTTACTGGGATTGTAGTACAGGCCTCCCAACAGCCAGCGGGTGATAGAGGAACAAATATGTAGATAGATAATGGAAAGTTTAAAAAACAGAGTTGTTTGGTGGGTGATTTTAATTTCCCCTATAATGACAGGGACTCCCTCAGTACCAGGGGCTTGAATGGAGGAATTTGTTAGGTGCCCCGGGACAGTTTTTCAAATAATATATAGATAGTCCTAGGAAAAATACTAGGAAAGGGGCCAGAGATCGTAAGAACTGCTGATGCTGGAGTCAGAGATAACACAGTGTGGAGCCGGAGAAGAACTGCGGGCCAGGCAGCATCAGAGGAGCAGGAAAGTTGATGTTTCAGGTCGGGTTAAGGGGCTATACTAGACCTAGTATTTGGGGAATGAGCTCAACTAGGTGATCAAAGTTTCAGTGGGGGAGTATTTCAGCAACAGTGACCATAATTCTATAAGTTTTAAGTTACTTATGGATAAGGATAAGGATAAGGATAAGGTAGTCCGAAGAAGAAAGTACTAAATTTGGGGGGGAAGGTTACCTACCCCAATATTAGGCAGGAACTGGGGAATGTAAATTGGAGGCTGGATGTTTGAGAGTAAATCCACATCTAGCATGTGGGTATCTTTTAAAGGCCAGTTGATCAGAGTTCAAGACCAGCATATTCCTGTAAAAATGAAGGATAGGGATGGCAAGTTTCGGGAACTTTGGATGACAAGGGAAACTGAGAACCTAGTCAAAAAACAAAAATGAGACATACATAAGGTTTACAAAACTGAAGCCAGACACAGTCCTCGAAGAATACAAAGATAGCAGGAAAGAACTCAAACAAGGAATTAGGAGGGCCAAAACGGCCACGATATACTTAGTTGACACTGCACTTGACTTTCCTTATGGCTTCTCTAACTTGATAATTTATACAACTGACAAGGTCATTTCAGACCACCTCTTCATATCTCACGCCACTTGCATGCCCCCTGTGAATTTTCAACCCCATTTTCCATCAGATTAGACTACAAATTGAATTGCCCAATTTTCCAGCCTCATGACAGGAGTCAAACAAAATAAAAACGTGAAAGATATTGACCCGAAGCTTCAAATTTAAAAGTATCTCAGATTTACAGATAGCTACAAGATTAAGATTTGAGTTTTAATCCATTGTCTCAGCTCACCTAGCTCCCACCTTCACTCTGACCTCTCCAGTCAGAACATTGTACCATTTGAAAATATCACATCTTTTTCCTTTTCTTTATTTTGGACTAAAAAAGAACAATACGAAGGAGACTGTGCAAAAAGGCTGCTGCCATTTTAAAGATAACAAAGTGTGGAGCTGGAGGAACACAGCAGGCCAGGCAGCATCAGAGGAACAGGAAAGCTGACGTTTCAGATCAAGACCCAAGGCCTGGCCTGACGTGTTCCTCCAGCTCCACACTTTGTTATCTCTGACTCCAGCATCTGCAGTTCTTGCTATCTCTCTGCTGTCATTTTAATTTTTTTTATATAGAAGCCCCACAGCGTGAAAACAGGCCATTCGGCCTGACAAGTCTACACCAACCCTGTGAAGAGTATCCCACCCAGACTCATTTCCCCTACCCTACCCCTGTACTCGTGCATTTCCCTTGGCTAATGCACTGAACCTACACATCCGAACACTATGGGTAATTTAGCATGGCTAATCCACCTAACCCGCACATCTTTGAACTGTGGGAGGAAACCAGAGCACTCAGTGGAAACCCATGCAGACATGGTGAGAATGTGCAAACTCCACACAGACAGTCACCCGAGGTTGGAATCAAACCTGGATCCCTGCCGCTGAGAGGCAGTAGTGCTAACCGGTGAACCACCGAACCACTGTGCCATCCCGTTTAATGGAGCACATTGTGTGTTGTATGCAATTATGCATTTCTCCTGGAACAGTCAGTCAGAGTAAAAACAGATACCATGGAGTTGATAAGTTCTGAGCTAAGGGACAACTGCTTCACAACATTTGATTGGCTCCTGACAAGGTGACCTTGGCTTGTAGTGGGCAAGTGCAGCAGAGAAACACCTAGGTTGCAAGGGAAAAAAAGCATTTAAAAAAAAAAACTGTGTCTCTCTCTCTCCATCCAGGACAAAGAAGTCCACTTTATTGGCACCACCTTCCGCAAAATTCACTCCCTTCACCACCAATGCTCAGTAGCAGTAGTGTGTACTATCTACAAGATCTGAGGGCACCATGGTCAGCATGGACCAGTTTGGGCTGAAGGGCCTGTTTCCATGCTGTATTACTCTATGACTCTATCCACTGCACAAATTCACCAAGGCTCCTTAGACAGCACCTTCCATACCCACTACCTTTACCAGCTAGAAGGACAATGGTAGCTGACACATGGCAGTATCACAACCTGTAATTTCCTCCCCCAAGCCACTCACCATCTTGACTTGGAAATTATCACCGTTCCTTTGTTGCTGGCAGAAAATTCTGAAACTGCCTTTCTAACAGCATGTGGGAGGTCTGACACCGAAGACTGCAGCAATTCAAGAAGGCAACTTACCACGTTCTCAAGAGCAACTACGGACAGATACTAATTGCTGGCCTACACAGCAACGTCTACATCCCATAGTGAATAAAATAAAAGTTGTGTTTTAGGCCTTTTTCAGTGAATTTATAGCAGGGTACTTAAAACTGCTGAACTTTGGTGGTAAACCCATTTTCAGCTGTACTTTTAAAAACAAAAGACAAAGAATAGTTACATTATACTTGTTATGATCCCAGCCAACTGTAATACTGGATACATCAGATCTCAGAGTGAACCCTGGTTTGATAGATAAGTTTTATTTTTTTTTGCAATTTGTTTAGGATGATGGTCAGTTACTGAATATATTCATACAGGTCTATCAGTACAAGAGCAAAGTTTATTTCACAAAATAAGTTAGAAAAAAACATTACTGTAAAGAAGATAACTTAGAAAGATCTTATCATGAACAATAAAAAAGATTCACTCCTTTTCCCAATGTTATCCTTCACAGAAACTGAAACCCAATGAAGTATCATCCCTATCTTTACACTTTTATTTCTTACTAAACTGACTCTTTCTACCTATACTTGCCGCTGAAATAGCTTAAGACTTCTTCCCAGTTCTGATGGATTGGAGATTTCTATCAACTCTGTTTGGATACATCTACAAACTAAAAACCGCTCTGCTGCTGCTATGAGCTTTCTTCTGAACTCAACCTGCCAGTGGCCCCTGACCATCCATATCTGTACATCATAAAACTCAACTTTGTACACATTCAGCATTTAGCTCGAGTCATTTAGCTTAATTCATATTATTTCTTGGAAAGGCCATCTACAAGTTCATCATTCCAAATGACTTTCTGATCCTTTCTTACACAAGCAACTCACTTTCATGGAATTAGCAATTAAAATACATTTCTTTCCCTCTGTTTTGGGATCTGAGTTCATAAACAAAAGCAATATACTACAAACCTACATCACATATTCCTTTGGTCACTTATGCAGGCTCATAGAACATGTGACATTTGTAAATCTGAAAATCAATTTTAAAGGGAAACTTGAAGCTTAAAAGTGCAATCGCAAGCAGATTTCAGACTCAACTTGCCGATGGTGCAGAAATGCTATTCCATTGCCTAAGTTAACAATGTAGCTGTTCAAGTACTGGAATATTTATAGGCGAGATGAAACCTCTTCTCAGGTGAATGAAAAAGGATTCCTTGACACTACCTTCTGCAACCAACAAGCAATCTTTTCTGTTCACTGTTTATAGGATCTCCTGGTTCCCATTGGCTACTAGGCTCCTCTTTATTTCAGGGACAGTATTTCAGAAGTAATTCTTGGAAAACAAATGGTACAAAAGTCCTTGGAATATCCTGAAGATGTAGGAAGCGTCAAGTAAACATAAATTATTTTGTAATGATACAGACCTGGGTTAGGATGTAAACATCACCAAGGTGTTCCCAGTCTCAATGCTGTGCAGGATACACACTGGGGGAAATTGTCTAATTGTGACAGAGAAGAGGAATCCTATATTATCAACAACAACAAAAACAAAGTTGCTGGAAAAGCTTAGCAGGTCTGGCAGCATCTGTGAAGGAGAAAACAGAGTTAACGTTTTGGGTCCGGTGACCCTTCCTCAGAACTGAGGAAGCTAATTCCACTGCTCTGCTCGCCCTCATGGGCCTACATCTTCTTCAGTTTTAAAATCTTATATCTACTTTACTCTCCTTACAAGGTTAACTATCTGCTTCAGTTTATTCCTATTTCAAAGCTTCTGTGCTCTGATAAATCTTCCTCAGTTCTGAGGAAGGGTCACCGGACCCGAAACGTTAACTCTGTTTTCTCCTTCACAGATGCTGCCAGAACTGCTGAGCTTTTCCAGCAACTTTGTTTTTGTTCCTGACTTACAGAATTCGCAGTTCTTTTGGTTTTTATCCTACATTATCAAAACTGTCTCAGCACTCTTAGTAACATTGTATTATTTGTTTATTGCAGCTTTCTCTCCAAGTTGTCTGGCTGTGCACGCACATAGCCGTTCCAATGTTCTGCACACGGCAATCAGCATCTGCATGCCAATTGCAGTACAGCCGCTCAGTTCCAGAGGTCACTTCCCCACAGCTGGAAAGAAAATTAGAGGGAACACAGTTCATGAGATGTGGGCTTTGTTAGCTAGGCAAGAATTTGGTACCCCTCCCTAAAAGCCCTTGAGAAGCTGCCATCTTTTCTTAAAAGGAAATTGTTCATCAGATCAGGATGTTGGTAGCTAGACCAGCATTTATCGCTCATCCCTAATTGTTCCAGGGAACAGTTAAGAGTCAACGACATTGCTGTGGGTCTGTAGAGTCACATGTAAAGGCAATGATAAAGGTAAAGTCACCAAAGTCCCACAGGACCATAGGGCTGCCCAAACCAAGTAAGGACAGCAGATTTCCTTTCCTAAACTGCATAAATGAATGGGTATTATGACAACCAACACTGGATTGCTTAGACTAGCTTTTTATTCTGTACTGATTCAAAATTTCACCAACTTCCATGGTGGGATTTTAATCCATACTCCAAAACATTAACAACAAAAACAAAGTTGCTGGAAAAGCTCAGCAGATCTGGCAGCATCTGTGAAGAGAAATCAGAGTTAACGTTTTGGATCCAGTGACCCTTCCTCAGAATATTAGCCTGTTCAGCATATCGCTAGTCTAGTAACATTACCACCATGCTACCATTTCCTCCTTTTGAACTGTTGTAATCCTTGGGATATAGGAACACCCACTATGCTGTTAGAGAGTGAGTGCCAGGATCTTGACCCAGTGACAGTCAACGAAAGATGATATAGCTCCAAGTAAAGATTGTGATTAGCTTACAGGGGAACTTGCAGGGGATGCAGCTCCCATGCATCTGCTAACTTTGTCCTTCTAGGGAATAGAGGTTGCAGCTTTGGAAGATGCTGTCAAAGGATCTTGGTGCATTGCTGCAGCACATCTTGCATGGTACATGCTGCTGCCACCATGTGCGGGTGGTGAAGTGAGTGAATATTTAAGGGCAATTAATGCATTCACATCAGAGAGATTCATCAATGCGTTAATTGAACACAAGAAAACATTTTATATCAACTTGTTAATGTCCTTACAGAAACCTCGCAGTGCAATTTCACCTTATTGGTCATTAAACAGGAATATATGAAAGTGCTGCTTCATATCCCTCTCACCTCCAGAATTGGTAATGTACTTACACTTGCGTCCTGAACTCATATTAGATTCCAACTGTTTGAGCTTTGAAACCAGCTCCTTGTTGCTATCATTCTTGTGAATTAGATAATTAAGTAACATGC